AGAATTGTTATAAAAATGGTGATGCTAAGCTGTTTTAATATATATAATAATGACTAAAGATGCTTTACATTGCAGTATTCATTCACTCTGCACCTGGTGATGGTAAAGCTACTTTTGCAGCCAAAACTGCCTTGAATGCCTTTACTGAGGGATGGAAAGTTGTCATTGTGTGCCATCTGAACATATCACACATGGGTAGGTAAAGTGTCTTGCCCAAGGATACAACAGCAGAACTCTTAGTCACAACTGACTATACAATTGGAAACCAAAAAGATGACACTACATTATAAACAATCAGTATATTTATCTCACTTACAATGACTTTCTAACACTGCAACATATGTAAATAATTTTATTTACTAAAGGAATTAAAGAGTAGAGGGAAGCTGACACATCACAGGAGCCTAGGAGCCCAGTGTCCTCTGTATCTGGTTGGCTGGGGGGTAGGTGATGTCAACCCCTGACAGGTAATTTGGTCTGAGCCTGACTCCCCGGGGCCAGCAATACCCATACTAACCCACCAACACAGGGCCGACGCTGCTGCATGTACTCGGCATCACACGCGCTGTCTCAGGCCTGCTCCAAATCCCCACAGAAGTCACTATATCGGTGTGTGCAATGAGAGGAGGACATGAAAGAACTAGTCCAAGCAACAGTGTCAAGTGTTTGTAGTTGGTCCAAAAATAGTAGGTGAAGCCGTGGAAGATGTGCCAAGTTAAAGCAATAGAGTTAAAAGGCAAAGAGTATCTGATGAATATTACACGTTATAGAACTGTGTGACTTGTTTCTCCTTCACCCAAAATGGCGCTCATATTTCCTATGGAGGATTCCCAAAGTCTCTATGAAGTCCGGCGCAGGATAGATGATGTGCTGTCAATGGCTGATAGGGGACTCCAGCTATAACCGTACCTTGGTCTGTTCCTGTCTGCCGGCCAATTACTGCCTTCTTCTCAGCGTCCAGGACTGATGCTCTCACCTTGTCTGGCTCAACTGTCCCCATATATCCCCCGTGTGCCCCAAGTGAAGGCTCGGTAAGGGCATGTCATCTGGCAGCCCGGTCAGCCACTGCAGCTTTGGCCGAGAGCAGGCTGGCGCACATTGGTTTTACTGGCTGTCGGCCATGCTAACTAAATAAGGAGACTCCTAATGACTTTCATTAATCCCCTTCACTATTTACAAATGAAAGTGGCTAACTGTGTTTTAAGGGTAATGAATTAAGCTTTACACATTTTTTAGTTTATTTTGGGTCTTTTTAGCCTTTATTTAATAGAGACACCTGGATGGGAAAGGGGGTCATAAAAGTGAATGACTTTGAGCAGAGCGACCTAAGCCTGTGATATGGGCTCTATCAGGTGCACTAAAGAGGTGTCCCCACATGTTAATTAGAATGGAATACATGCACTGTGATATTAGCACTTTGATGGAAAAGCAATATGTGACAAATGTATCTAGAAATAGCTTGTTGTCAGGAACAGATTCTGCCACATGGAGCGACAAGACCCAAAGCCAAATAAGAGTCAGAGAGGAGGTTACATTATGAAACAGCATGCCATCAAATCAACTTTACATAATGTTTAGAGCTACAAATTTGTTTTTCCTGTAGAGACACAAGATTGAAAATCATGAATGTTAAGAATACATTCCATCAATATTTTTTGTAATAGCAGTAGCAATCATTTAACAGCAAGTTTGGAAAATGTCCTGTAGAAACCTGCAAATAAAAAATGAAGTAGCTGAAATGGCAATTGAAAGTGTAGATTTTGGAAGTGTGTTTGTTTATCAGCCTGGTTTGTGGACATGTGGGACTGAGAGGCCACTAATAGAGCGGCAAGCCCGTATCAGCACAGCCTCATCTCACAGCGGGCCCATCTATCCCCCCATGTGCTCTGGATGTGAAAACATGTCAACATACTGCTTGGCCCGGTCAGAGCTTCCATGGCCTCTCCGGACTCACTAACTGCCTAGTTTATGTCTATCTGTCTGATACTTAGATAAATTTGGCCTGGCCTAGGTCTAGGGCCTGGATGTCCACTGCCCAATTATTTTCCCCAAGCCAAGACCCCTGAACTCTCTTCATCCTGGACCGACATGTGGATCCCTGGTGAGCCATGGTCGTGTCACTAAAGGTTGGCCCAGTCACGCCTCTGTCAATTGGGAATGCGATGCCTGCCTGCACACAGCTCAAGGGGCATGCTTAAGAAGACCTCAGCTACATCCACATTAAGTTGCATACTTGTATACATGCTTTACTGTACAAACAAATATTTCAACACATTTTTAGATATCATACAGACATTACATTTAGTGACGGGTCAGAGGTTATCTAAAAAGAGATTGTGCCATTATTGTGTCTCATTTAGAGAAATATAAATATATAAACCTCTTTTTGTTCAGCCACAACACATCACTATGTGTATATTCCACTTCCTCTCATACTCTTGTAGAATATCTGTACTTTATTAAATAGGAGAATTAATATATTAATAATTAGAAAAAAAAGAAGACCATACACAGGGCCGGGTACTCTTACATTTTTTCGTGTGCCAGTACTTGAATGTCTGTTTTTCCGTGCCAGTACCTTTTCTTGTATTATATAACCAGCCTAAAGACGATATAGTTGATTGTAATAAATTTAACAAAAACAAAAAAAGACAGTGTTTTTATTTTGCAAAGATACGTATGGGGGCATATTGTGAGATTGGTAAACTACGTTGTTTTCAGGCTGCCTGTCAGGACTGCTAGTTATTTCTTCCAGACCAAGACCCTCCAGAGAAGGAACGATGGAGTGGTGGTCCTAGGCAGGGTCAGGGTCTTTGCACAATGTGGAAACAGAATATAATAAACACATACTCCCATATCTCACAGTGTGCCTATAGAAATGTTTTTTTCTTTTCTTTTTTTCTTACCTCAATATGCATTTTAAAGTGTATCAGCCATTGCATACACCCTTTTTCCATCAGCCTATTTGCAATATTACCTCCTCCTATAGCTCATTCATAAATAAATCATGTGTTGAGCTGAGGCACAGTTTAATTATTTTTAGACTTGGGGGTAAAGAGACAAAATAATTTTTGACTCAGCTAAAATGTAACCCAGCAGTTTTCCATTACATTAATGACTGAATAGGGATTTCTACTTAACTTACTTTTTCTTTTCCTTTTCTTTTCCAGTCCTCTGGCTCCTAGTGTGGACTAATGAGGATGTTTATTATGACAAAAGGTTTAAATAATACACTTTTCAGCATCTCGGTTAATCTAGGCTTGCAAGGGCTTGTTACTTTATACCTTCAAAAGATTGATAACTTAACAATATTGAAGCATGGCAGGTTGAGGAAAATATAATGTACTTATAATGTATGCATTCCTTGGCACACTTGCTGACAATTTTTGTACACATGGAATTATCCCATTAGCTTGTCATCTCAAAGACAAGACATGGCATCTCCTCATTATTCAACCTTCTCCTTTTCTTTTTCTCTGTTTTTGGTCTGACCCCCACCCCCTCCTACACCCTCCACCCTCTACTCCACACATCCTCTATCCATCCTCCAATTCCCTCAGTGGCAGGCCGGGCTGCAACAGAAAGGCTTCAAGGGAGAGAGAGCGAGAGGAAGAGAGAGAGTGGGGGAGAGAGAGAGGGAGAGAAAGAGAGAACGAGGTAGAAAGACTCGGGGAATGATGCTGGCACCAGCGCACATTGTTTTCACTCTTTGCCATGTTTCCTATTTTCGCTTTCTTCACCCCACACCATTCTCCTCCCTCCTCTACTTCCTCGCAGCGCTCTCTCTCTCTCTTTCTCCCTGTCTGCCTTTTTAGTGTGCGGCGCTCCAGGCAGATCAAAATTCAACTCAGTGATGTGTGACTAACGTTAGGACACACAATACGCTGCCACAAACTCTTTGATCATAATTCCATTTAACAGTGAAAATGTATGCAGCAAATAAAGAATAGGAAAGAAAGATGGGGGAGGAGGGGAAGAGGCAAAAAATAGGAAGATGATTGTTACTTTGGCTTCACGCCCCATCAGACTTGACACACTGGTAAATGTCAAAAATGATGGACACATAAACGGTTGTTACTAAAAATCCAAGTCTGTGTAATTCTGTCCTTTTTTACCTTAATGCAATTAGAGAATTACATTTACTTGTAGAAGCAGCATTTTTTTTACTTTCTTTAAAGCTTTTGACTTTATTTTAATTTTAGTAAACCTGTGCAATACTATGAGTATTGATTATTTATTACAAAACAATATACTTTTTTTGTGTGTGTGTGTTTACCATTAATAAATAGGACACTAACAACTCACTGTTGACTCCTCTGCATTTGATACTGATTTCCTTCCTATTCTGACAACTGGACCATCATTACCATCTCTTCAACAGACAACCAAACAAGATGTTCCTCAAGGATTGGTTAACAGACCACACCTCTTTAGCAAAAAACACATTCTTTTACTTGGACAATTGATACACAGATATGGACATGATGATGACACTTATATATATGTTTCCATCAAGCTGTCTGTCCAACCCATACCTCATTCCCTTTCCATTTGCCTCTATGACCTCAAGACCTGGCTTTCATCCAACTCTCAGATTCAGCTGTGACAAAATAGCGCTCATATCACCAGCCTGTCACCATCAGTTCTGTGTCACCTTGGACTTGAACCTGTCACTTGAACGACACATCAAATCAGTATTCATATCATACAGTGGCTCTGTCTTAAACTCAAATTATATTTTTGTCTTTTGTCACCGGTAAATTATACAAAATACATAAAAAAACACAAGTACTACTAAACCTTATTCTGTAAATAAAAGTACATAAATAGCTGCAAAACTTTGGTGATCCTGATGATCTTTTACCGTATAGTGTGCATGTAACCTGTTTTTATTGTTGGCAGTACCATGGAGTGTGGAGGTGGCACTCACTACATAAACATGTATTTACAATGTGCTTCCTTGACAAGGAGGAGTAAAGGTTACATCACCCAAGTGTTACCTTGTGTGCGCGTGTGGGCAGGTGTGTGCACGTGGATGCTGACAGCAGCTCTCCCAGCAGGTGGCCCCTTCTGCGCATCTGAATATCCAAAAAGCTGATGGTTCTGTCACTGATCACAACCAGCCAAGTGTGAGAAAAGGACGGAAAAACACCCTGCAAAACAACAAACATTAGCTTCACAACTGAACCGTTTTCAAAGACTTTTTCAAAAACCAAGAAATCATCACGCTGTTTGGTGGCACAGCACCCAGGTAAATAATTCATTTATTATTGTGCTTATATGCAGTAACTTATAAATATACAGTAGTGTACAGTTGGGCCTCCTGCTGTGAGAAGAATGAGGGGCTGTACACAGCTTGGCAGGATCTTGTGCCTGTGCATATGGTGCCGTACCGAGGTGTGTCTTTGAGGGACAGATTGAGGAGGCTACTGGAAGATGAATGAGAAGAAGTGCACTTTTGAAGCTACTGCTATTACAGAGGTACTTGGCGTTACTTAAATCATGGGATACACATATTTACTCGTAAATATGTATGTTGACATATCAGAATGCAATCAGAATTGCATGTGATCCTCTCTGCTGTTGAACGTAATTCTATATTGATTTTTCACAAATTTATTCCTCCAATAAAATTATACCAACTGATTTTACGGTTTTCAATATTCTCCAAGATATAAATTCATACTTAAATGCATGTTATGCATTTATTTATTCCATTATAAAAATGGAAAACAAGGCCAATGTCCAAGTCAAAGGTTAGAAAGCTTCACAGCTCTCCTCCTACATGGTATAAAGCACAAATGACAGAGGTTATGTGCAGCATTATTCCCAGTGGAAAGACGTCTGTCATTAAATGCTCAGAGACCAGGACAGAAAGAATATTCCAGCCTTCCCTTTTAATAAAATGTGTATCAGTGGTATTTATGCATAAACTGACCCCAGTAGTGTTTGTAAGCAAGTTGGCACCATTTGTAAGGATGCTTTCAGCTGGCCCGAGATACTCTTTGACAATACAGCTAATCAAAATTATTTCTTAGAATAAGGAAATAGAATTTTTAAAAAATAACATTGCATAAATTGAGTTGGAAAAAAGCATTTCTTTGGAAATGAGTGTACAACTTATATGACATCATCACTAGAAAGTTCTATGCTGATAGCAAATGGAAAGCAGATGAAATATAACACCCACAATGAATGGGCAATATGGTAATATGCTTCTGTAAAGTCACAATGTGTAGAAATAATTTATTTATTTTTTCTGTATGAGTGTGAAAAGTTAGCATTTCTAGACTAGTGCTGACCCAGCACTAGCTAAACCTTGAGAGTTCAGATTGCTGACTCTACAAGCAACACATAACTGCTGTTGTTTACATATCTGCATAGTCGATTAGGTGCTTGCATATTGCTAACCATTTATATGTAGTGCATGCGTAAACTCACCTCTAATAGGTTAATTCAATTACACTGGTTAATCTGTGTATACCTTTACAGGGTCTACGAATGGTAAAAGCTCTTTTAAAACCTAAGGATGGCTAGGTTATATGGCCTTGGGCATATGCTACTTATTGGAGCACAAATTAGTCGCACAGTGAGGCAAATTAAGTCTGAAATGACCATGCATATTCAAATTAGAACTGCATTTAAGCTTACATGTTCACATACAAGCACCACTCTAAAGATAGCTGGGGGATGTCTTCATTTAGTGCATTAACTTACGGGTATAGAGTGAAGCCCACTGTATAGTAATTATGTTAAAATAGTGTCATGAACATACAACCATGCAATAATTTTCTGACATGAATTTGTGTGATATTAAGCAATCTAAGACTATAAGCCTACAGAATATTTTAATGTAAATAATTAACTTTTATAACATTAAATTGACTAAATAACTGTACAGCTATATGGTACAATTCTTTGTCTTTGTTTAATAGGGTGCCTCAACCTAAAATATGTTCACCTTTTTTCAGTGACAGATAGCATGGGGCTAAACATAATAAAGGCCTTATTCAAAACAAAAAGAAGTTGACAGCAGTCTGTCCAAGTGTCTTCCTGGCCTGTCTGGACTTAGTCTAAGCACATGGCCATCAGGGGAACTCAAGACTTTATATGGCCCACAGGTCCAATTGACAGTGAATATGTTTCCCTGATCTCTCATCAGTTTATTCTGCTATGTCCTTGAACAGCCAAATGTGTTACAATTACAAATTATCCTTTAAAAAGTACATGGACAATCTTATACTGCATTCAATTCATCTTTATTACAGACTATTACAGACTCATTGTCCTTTCTCTAGAATACTGCAATACTGTTCCAACGTCTCTATGGTTTCATGGTTTGTAAATGCTCTGTTGATAGATCCATAAGTAATTACTAATTCTGGGTCAATTAGATGAGTTGAGTGAGTTGACAAACTGCAATTTATGTTTTTTACCTGACAATGACAATCCGTGTATCATTCATTAGTTTTTCAAAATAAAACCAAAAATAAGAAAACAAAAAAACAAAAAAAATTTCTTCAATATTTGTCTCCAAAACCAAAATGAAAAAAAGAATGATAATGATTTGTTTTTTCAGTTTTCAATTTTGTGTTTAAATGAGTAATGGAAAAAACGGATAACTTCAGTTTCCTGTTTCCTGCGACTCAGGACTGAACCAGGACTGAACTCCAGGACTGAGCCAGGATTAACCAGTTTCAGTCCCGGTCTCAGTCCCGGTCTCAGCCCTGATCACCCAACAGCCTGCGCAGACGCACCTCCGGGCCCATCCCAACACGCAGTCCGGGTTCAGTTCTGGTTTGGTCCTGGTGTAGTCCTGTTTTAGTCCTGGCATTAATCCTGGGATCAGTCCTGGTTCAGTCCCGGTTCAGTCCAGCATCTCAGTTTAAGTCACGGAAATGGGAAACGACTGTTATCGTTTTTTTCCATTATTCATTTAAACACAAAATCGAAAAATCAAAAAAAAAAATCGTCTGTTTTTTCATTTGGGTTTTGGAGACAAATAATGACAAATGTTTTTTTCACTTTCTTATTTTTGGTTTTATTTTGAATAATGAATGAGCAAATGATACACTGATTAATGACAAATAAATTATATTCAATGTTTCTGTGCCATTTACTTATATTATATTATAATACATTGAATTTATATGTAATTATTTTACAGCTCTTTGCAAGTTGTCGCTCAGTCACTCACCAAGTGATGAGTGGACCTTAGCTAGCCCCATCTGTGCTCTTGTCCTGACCCAGGGACCTCTCCTGACCCCTGCTGCCCTCATCTGTCTGAATGAACCATGCGTATACCACTGCTTATATGGTTATATTCAACTTCATTCAGCTGCCCTGGACACTTCTATTGTATAAGGGCTCTGGAGTTAATCCTGTTTTCTGTAGCTCACCCTGAGGTTACTCCTTTTCACTACAGCATTTTTTTATTGGTTGAAGAATCTATGAGAAGACATTGTGTGTCTTTCTGGAACTATTGTTTCTGATAAACTAAAGGCTATATATATATCAATATGAAATGCTAATTCAATAGATATCCAATATTTCTCTTGCTATTGTAGACAATAACAAATACATGCCAATATCAATATCAGTATTTTAAAACCCCAAACAAGGCATACATATTGAAGTTGCAGTTAAGTTTAAAAATTAACTTCCTCCTTTAGTAAAAGTTAGACCAAAATGTATTTATCGGGGATATGATACAATTTATTTTATAATGACATGTACAGCTACCTAGCTTCCCATTATAAACAGAAAAAAAAAATCAAAAATGTTTGCCCTGGCCACTATAAAACCATCACTAATATATTAACAACAATATTCCCCAGTCCCTGTATAAAATTTGAAAAATAGCTGATATACTTTTTACCATACATTTCACCCTCCCCATAGTCTCTTTACGCTCACACCGGGTTGTGATTAAACTGCTGTTGGAGTGGCTCGAGGTAAGAATGGTCATGTGTGCATACATTACAGATCTGTGCATGTGTGTCAGCCTTAGGCCCAACAGCAGCCGCCCACAGCACTTCCTGATTCCCCACATCTCACATCCTCCTCTGTCTTCTCCACACTCTCTTCCTTCCTGTCACTTCTCCTTCTCGCTGCATTTTCAGTTGCAATTTACAACTGTGTTTGTTGTAATAGTAATTATTATTCACAATATTATGGTAAACAGCACATAATGATGCCCCCATTGTTGATTCTAATGTTTAATTAGAAACAGAAGATAACTCAAATCTTTTAGTCTGAAGATCAGAGTGGTTTGCCACAAGCACTTCTTTAAATGCTGGCTATGCAAATTATTTGTTTACCCAGATTGTTGACAGAACACTGGAGTTCATTACCTCAGTTCTCATTGGCTTAATGTAGTATTTGAAATGTAAAGGGTAAATCCCACTGACTACAAAGTTCAGTAAATGGCTGATACGCATAAAAAGACAACTACTCACTCACGTATTCATTCATCTCATTCATTGACCAATCACATTTTCCTTTTTCAAGGAACTACTTTAACCCTCTTTGGACTTTTGAAAATATTCGTGACAGTCAACAAACAATCAATCACACAAAATTGTTTTTTTTGACTGTGTTAATATTGAACTGTTTATTTCTGTGTCAGTGACTTTCTTTTCGGTAACATTATGTGTCCCTCACACTGCCACCTCTCCTCCCTCTCTTCCTCTCCTCTCTCTCTCTCCCCAGCGTCTCTGTGTCTTTTCCAGTGTGCCGTTCTGTGCCAGGTCGTGGTGGCTGGTGGTTCCCTCTCTCCAGATGGCCCACTCTGATCATTTATTGATGACACGAGAACAGAGGATGGTCTTCCCAGCTGCTGCAGCCTGGCACCGTGCTCATTATGCACATGCACACACAACAAAGTCCACAGACACAATGACTCACACAACCAGAGTTACATGTGCGGACAAGTGGAGTTTTCTTTGCTTTTCTTTGTTTTTTGCCTTGTCATACATCTAGCTGCTCATCTGCCGTCACACGAGGTGCTGTGCTGCATTTCTGCGCCCTGCAACGCTCCTTCCTGCCTCCAGCGCTCCCTCATTCACCTCCTGCTGTGGTGTTACTGACTCCGTTGCACAGGAACAGACAGACGGAGAGGCCGGGGAGAGGAGAGGGGGAGAGGGGGAGTGAT